CTAGCAGATAAGTTTACATCAATCAAAACTATAATTTTAAATCGTCAGTACTTTTGTAATGTTGTATATTTTATTACATAAACATCCGGCGTGCAAAAAAGTATAAGGAAATCAAGAATGATCACCTTTTTTCAGCGAATTTTTGGCCGTTTTATCGTGGGAAAATTCCCGAATCTGTCTCCGAAGAAAATTTATTCCCAGGTGTATAATTGTAGGTGTCATACTCTGGTTAAAACATTGGCCGTAACAAAGTGTGTATAAGAAGGGCCGTTGGGCGAGACAAGGATGGACGGCCCGCGTCGAGTGTGGAGACGAGGGTTGCCCACTCACAACCCCATGAATATGCCCTCGACTTAAGTACTGCTGCAGAAACTGGCTAAGCCCGGCTAAACATTGACCGGACCACTTCTCGTCGGTAACCGGCCCGAGTGGCAAACAAACACCGAACAGAGGTTGTTTAACTAACTCAGCCGGTGTGCGACTGCGAAGTCGCTTTGAGAAATGTTTGTAATTTGCGTACCTCCGACATACATGAAACTTCCCAACTATTATTGGCTGAGAGAAATTAAAATTAAATGATTTTCGTCTTGACTTTAGAGAGCCAACTGGCACACTTTTTTTTGTTTAGGACCGCTGACGACATTACAATGCCTCACATTTTAACATTTGAGACTAGACAAATCTTTGGGTGTGTGTTTCTTAGTGACCTGTTGTTTTATAATTTGTTGAAGTCGTAAGGAGCGGTCAAGAAAGAGGTTGTTTATGAAAACACCTTTTCCATTTTTTTTGGCCGACGTTCGAATAATTCATCGACACACCCCAAATTGTATGGAGCTGTCAAAACCCACAAATCCGGATCTCCTTTGAGGCCAATAATTTCCTTCATAAATCGCACGATATAATTTATCCAAATATCTCACAAACATCCTCAATAATATCGGAGACACCACTTACAACGTAAAAGACTCGTTTGATTTCATAAACACAATAAACCAAATCATAATACCCACATACTAATACTTTTCACAAACATCACAATAGATCTAACACTTGACATTATCAAACAGAAATGGCACGACATAACACTCCACACAAATCTTTCACAAACATCCTTCATAGCAATATTACAACGCTGCCGGATATCTCACATGCAACAACCATTTTTACAAACAACTATTCGGCTTAGCCATGGGCATCAATCTAGGCACTACACTAGTAGATATAAAGATCAGACAATACTCGACACTGTTTTCACCCAACTACCTTTCACTTTACCCTGTCTCACCAAATACTTTGATGAGCAGCAATACACTCAGATGAAAGACAAAAAATATTTAACACATTTAACAATTTTCATCCTCTCTTACGATTCACACGTGAAGTCGAAACAGAAAACAAAATACTTTCTAGACACACTCGTAATAAGACAAATAGATGGCACACCAATTACAGATTGTCACCAAAAACCAATGATCATTGATCTCTACCTCAATTATACATCACATCTCTAAAACATATCCTTTCACCCAAAAAATATCAAAACGTACAAACAAATATTAACAACAACATAATCATAAACAATTTAGTGCACAGTACCCACAGTACAAAGCACAGTAATACAAAGACAAAATGTAGGGGGCGTCAGTGGCCGCAACGGTTTAGGCGTTGACAAGGCGCTCATCGCTGTAAGGTAAAGGTCCAGCGACCTGCATTCGAACCCGACATACTTACAAATGGGCTTTTTTTTTCAAAAACACCAGCAGCCTGAGGGTGTATATGACCTCTGCTGTTGCGAACCCTCGTTAAAAAAAAAAATAATAATAATAATGTGTGGTGATTAGTGACCGTTAATCGATATTTATTTAGAAATCGTGAGATGCGGTCTGGTGTGATGTAGGTTTCAGAAAAACATTTTCTTTACTGTGCCAACGTTTCGATCTTTATTGAGATTGAGATCATCTTCAGGGTCTAGGATTTACAAACATTGTTAACATATAACAATTACATTTTGGATGTGGAAAAGTGAATTTATACAATGCAAAATATATTTTTTTATATATTCAATCAAAGTATTTCTACTCACTCAAAGTGTCAAAATCAGAAAAAGAAGTACAAACACGGAGAGAGCCGGCGATGGCGGCTGTTTGTCGGCCCCTAAAATTCCCATTTTATTTATATTTAAGTTAATCCACTTGTAATCTGTGCATATATTTGATATTATTTTTCTCCCTAGCACAACTGTGACACTAAGGCCAACAAAGCACCCGGAGGACATAAGTCATGAGATTTGTATTTATTTATTTAAACGGGCAGATGTCTAAAATAAATATACAATCCATTTTGCAATAAAAAATCCAAATTTGTCCACATGAAAAAAGTAAATATTAAATTATACTTTTCTAATAAACATTACATTGAAGAAAAAAATTAGTTGAGAAGGTAAGTTTTGAAAGATTAATCAAAAAATAATTATTAAAAACTTATTTGTAGAGTTTAAAAATGAAGATGTATTCATTTATTATTCTTATACAATAACCAATGAGAGCAAATTTTTATTCTGCTAAACGTGTGTGGTAGTTAGTGACGTTAATCGATAATTATTCAGAAATCGTGAGATGCGGTCGGGTGTGATGTAGGTTTCAGAAAAACATTTTCTTTATCGAGTCAACGTTTCGATCTTTATTGAGATCATCTTCAGGGCCTGGGATTTACAAACATTGTTTACATTTAACAAATACACGTAGGATGTGGAAAAAAGTGAATTTCTGCAATGCAAAATATATTTTTTATATTCAATCAAAGTATTTCTACTCACTCAAAGTGGCAATCTTGCGTGTTTGTCTTCTGTGTAATTGTGCCATCTGACTGGCACTCTCAACACGACACGCAAGATCGGCTCTCGCATGACGGGGTTTCGGGAGCTACAAGTTTTGTAACCAACAACTGTCGCATTCAAAATCTAACTTCTAACTCATCATTGGGTACTAACTCTAAATTCTAAACTGTACCTGACTCCTGACCAACTGACCAGTGTCCTCAACTCCGTACTCATGTCAACCATTGTTACCTCATGTTATCCGATTGGTTGCACCCACCTTTTGCAAACCTCTCCAGAGGGTTACGTGAACCCTTCTTCCCCATGACAGTTACTACCTTTTTACAAGAGCTTCGCCATTTTGCATTTCTTGAGCTTTCCTTTGGAGGGGATTTTCGAACGTTCAACACAGTTAATTATTAATGAGTTACACGATTAATTAGCTGCACAAAACATAGTTTTCTCAGGATTTTTCAGAACTTTTTCTATTCTTGCTAAATTTCTATAGAAACTACGTCTCCGACAGCTCAATAAGTGTTGCTGACAATATCGCCTCTTCCCTTGAACACAAACAGCATTGCTTGGTTGTCTTTTTTGATTTAGAACAGGCCGACGTCGATCGAGTTTGGCTTGCTTTAGAAAGAAAGGAACATCATCCCTTATAAGTTCATTCTCATACTGAGATTACATCTGACGTACGGATTTTGCCGATTCCTCAGAGAACTAAATTTTTACCTAACGATAAACATTACTCTTCGTAAAAGTAGCTATTCTCTAGTGAGTTTAAATGTATCCCCGTTACCTGCCATTGACCATATGCGTTATCTTAGAATTTCATAGATAAACGACTGAGTTAAGAAACAAACCGACGTTATAAATAATTAAACGTGCTGCTTGACTCGCAGTCAAAATGAGAGAGTGAAAACAGTCTTTTACTTTAAAAGTCAATTATAACCCCTCTCAGGCCAACATCAAATTTATCCGACGGTTATTGCTTGTAAATCAAAATTTTAATATTATTCCAGATCATGAATTTAGATTCCGCTCATTTCACTCAACAACTTAACAACTGCATCGTGTTGCTGACAATATCGCTTCTTCCCTTGAATAAAAAAAGCATTTCTTGGTTGCCTTTTTGATTTAGAATTGGCCGTCGATCTAGCCTGACTTGATTTAGAAAGAGAGGAACATCATCCCTTATAAGTTCTATCTCATACTGAGATCATAATATCATATCTGACAGGCGCATTTTGCCAATTCCGTCAGGGAACTAAATTCTCGCATTAGGGCGAGGGTGTTCCTCAGAGAAACTTACTTGGATCATTTCTATTTTCAATATACACAAAGGTATATTCGTAGGTATATTACAGGTCGTGCGTCCAAGGAAGGCACGAAATGTGTTGCAACGACTTCTGCACATCCTCAATATAATAGTTCAATACGTTAACACAATAATTTTGTACAATTAATTATTAATTAGCTATACAAAAAATCTTTTAACGACATTTTTAAATAACCGTACAATTATTGAACCTATTTACCGAAAGTTTGAGTATTAAAGGAAGTTACGATTGCATAAAAATTCAAACAATCATATCTCATTTTTCTCATTATTATTAATGGTCTACAATTATTACAAGTCGTTCCTCCTGATAACATTTTCTTGTAAAAAAAACATAGTTTTCTCTCTCAAAATATATATATACATATTTGTAAATAAAAATTTCTGCTTTGTTCTGTTCTCTAGCGTGTTTTTTAGTTTAGAAGTAACTATAGTTTAGAAGTAACACATTCCAATAATATAAAAAAATGGCACTCTCAACACGACAGACAAGAATGTCACATCTACACGGAAAACAAACACCTTGATCCCTGAAGATGATCTCAATAAAGATCGAAACTTTGGCACGATAAAGAAAATGTTTTTCTAAAACCTACGTCTCACCAGACCGCATCTCACAATCTCCAAATAATATAAAAAATGTAATTTTTGGGCTGGGCATACCGATACAAGCTAGTTATCGAAAACTCCAAGGAATGTATTTCCTCATTTTTCTGTGACTTAGCAAGGTTGGTTGAGAATAAATGAAAAAATATGATAAAATATCTATTACGTTTATATGTATATTTTCTTTATATGCGTATGTTTTTCTTTATATTATAACGGCATCTCCTTTTGTTCTAGGTAAGTGATAATAATCAGTCGCAATATTACAATGGAGAGAGTAAGGATTCAGCGAAACGAAATGATTCGTACGGGCCACCCAGTCAAGAAATTGGATTCCGTGAGTACAAGGTAAAGAAACAACGAGCGTAGTTCAGTATTAAAACATGCAGAGACAAAATCAAACTTTCCCTGCTACTCGGCAAATTTTAGATGTGTCATTTGGGTAAAGTAGTTCGAAAGTTGACATGGAAGTAAGTTCGCCTTTCCTTTGATCATTCCTCAACTTAAACCGCTTTCTGAAATTTTCCCGTAATTCCGCGTTTTACCAACTGTTCCGATCGATGCTGAAGCGCACATTTTTCATTGGAAATTACGTTTGATCCATTTTCAAGCAACATCGTTCAATATCACCCATTTAAATTAAGAAAAAATTTAAAAAAAAAACTGAGGGGTGTTAAACCGGGCTACCGTGGGCCACAACATCTTCTGTGACAATGTAGAACCAGGAATAAACGACCATTGTATTATGAAAGTAAGGTTTAACGTCTCCAAAAAAGTTTAACCAGGTATTTTGCATCCATCGTTTGAAGAACTTTTGTAATAATATGGTCCAGTTATACGCTTGGAGATCATCTGATAATTTATGATGTTTATATTATTTAATACATATAATTTATTAATTATTCAATCAACTAGTGTAAACATTTTAAACTAATCTTTATCTAAGGTATGGGTTGAGATAAAAAAGTCAGTGTCACGAGCGGGATTCGAACCCACGATCTTCGGCTAAATACGCCGCTGCTCTCCCACTTGAGCCATCGTGACCACGATCCGCTTGGACACCAACTTCCCATCTCAACCACACCTTTTGAATTTCCTTCCTTTTTGCCATTTTTCAAATGTCGTGTAATCTATTTGATTCTCGGCGACAATTGAAATGGCCACGGAGAGCTTTAGTGAAGATATACTTCATTTAACTTATTAAATTCATTAGATTTCGTAGTCCAATTGAACAAATAACATCTTTCAATTAATTAATATTTATGTAAGGTATGAAAAATGGCAAAAGTAGGGAAAATTCGAGAGGTGAGGTTGAGATGGGAAGTTGGTGTCCGAGTGGATCGAAGTCACGATAGCTCAAGTGGTGGTTTTTTTTTTTTTTTTACAAAAACAGTAAATCTGTACTCACAAGTACACTTAGAATTCGCTAGTTTTCGTGGTCCTATCTGATTCTCGGCGACAAATGAATGTCAAAAAAATCAAATAGATTACACGACATTTGAAAAATGGCAAAAAGGAGGGAAAATCCAAAAGGTGGGGTTGAGATGGGAAGTTAGTGTCCGAGTGGATCGAAGTCACGATAGCTCAAGTGGTAGAGCATCGGCGTATCTAGCTTAAGGTCGTGGGTTCGAATCCCGCTCGTGACACTGACTTTTTTATCTCAACCTTACATGAAGATTAATTAACAGAAAGATGTTATTTAGTCAATCGGACCACGAAATCTAATGATTTTAACATATTTCATACTTACCTTCCGAAGAGTCTGTACGCGTAAGATATTTTTTGCAATCCGCGGGTTGTATTTGTTTTGGTAAGTGTCTTCTCGTAGGATTTATAGTTTGCCCTCCGAAGTCAATAATACCTAGGTCAAAGTAAATTCTTGAAAACAACCATCTGCGTTAAATTGTTTCACTGCTTCTGTATACTTCCAGGACGTATATTTTTTTTATCTTTGATTTTTTAAATCTGCCAGGCATTACCATCAAATGGATTTTTCTAGTCATCCATAAAATAGCTAGAAAGTGCATTATTACCTTCACAAATATTGTAAACATAAAAAAACCGTTTAAAATTGTAGATCTATTGGGATCTGGATGAAAGAACAAATTCTGTTGTACGGCCAAGCTTTCGACCTATTTTAAGGTCACGGCAAAACAATTTTAAGAGAGTGGGGCACTCTCAACACGGCACGCAAGAATGGCACAATTACACAGAAGACAAACACTTTGAGCCCTGAAGATGACCTCAATAAAGATCGAAACGTTGGCACGATAAAGAAAATGTTTTTCTGAAACCTACATCACACCTGACCGCACCTCACGATTTCTGAATAATTTAAAGATTATAATATATAAATATATCTACAAATGGACATAATTAAGTTTGACACCAAAGATAAACATATATTAGAATATTTAATTTATTTCAGTATAAACATTGAAATTTATTTTTATTTACAAAATATATACAGTATTTACAAAGAAATTAAAAGACTGGCTTCAGGCTTCCTGCCTATATACCTGATCTGAAGTAAAAAAAAGAACTAATTTAACCATATCTCAATATTAACACAGAGGGAACAAAATAAAAATAAAAAATTTAAAAAACACCTTTACGTTATATAGTTAATTTACAGCAAAATGTGCTTCACTCTTTTGTACTTATATTTTTTGTAAAGTGTCTGCTAGGAGGTAGCTTCATAGTTGACAATATTTCTAATATTAGTGTATTCACTAAGTACACAAGCTTTGCAAAATCTTGATGTTATACTGTGGACTTGTGTAGAGACACTAGCCACCTCCAATACTGAATGCATGTAGTCTATTGGCGTCCACCTGTAAAAGGAACCAATCAGTCTCAAGGTCTGCATAACCTGCAACTTCCTGTAGTTGGTGATACATGCATTAGACCATACAGGAGCCGCTTACAACGGCATGGGTCGAATATACAAATAATAAATTAACTTTTTATTAAATATACTCAGAACAGAGTGTCTATTTAACAACGGAAATAGATTGCAGATCAGAGCCACTCCTCTATCGCATACCGTGTTGAAGTGCTTGGTTAACGTGAGCTTTGATTCCAGCATCAAACCGAGATACTTCACTTCTTTTTTCCAAGGAATACACCTTCCATTTATTGTCACAATACAATCAACATTAGGCCTTCTGCGAGTGAACAGAATCACCTCTGTTTGTGACTCATTGGGTCTGATCCGCCACCTGTAAAAGTAATTAAATGTTTTCTCAAGGGCTACTGAGAGATGCCTAGCTATTGTATCTACCCTGAAAGACGAAATCATAAAAGCGGTGTCATCAGCATATAGGACACACTTTGGCTTAACTTTTAGTTAGGTTATACCCTTAATAAATAAATTGAACAATGTGGGCCCAAGGATAGAGCCTTGGGGTACACCAGCGGCAATTGGCCGAAAGTCTGTGCTTACATCGTTAAAACATAAACATGAAAATCTAAATGTCCGTTATGTTCATTTTTCTTCTTTCGATATCCAACGAATGGGAACAAAACGACATAAAAGAGAACTTGTGAGAATCCAACAATCCGAATTTCTGTCCATCTAATCTAGTCAAACATTTTCGCTCAAACAGGGTCAAAAGAGTAAAGGAATTTACCATGAAGGAAGTTCCAGAAGTTATCATTTTTCTTCGTTACCATTAAAGTTCGTACAAATTCGGCCGAATAAAACAAAGAACTATAAATAAAATAAAATAAAAGTTTAAACATTCTCCTATTATAAAATAAGCATTACAGTCAGGCTGTCCGAGCATTTATTGATAGGTGTTTTTCCAAGTAGGTGGATTGGGAGAGGAGGAGCGATTGAATATTGAATGGCCACCAGAGACTCGGATTTGACCCCGTTAGACTTTTTCCTTTGAGGCCACAATAAAAGTTCAATTTGTAAAATGGAATTAACGGACTAGCGTGCATTGAAAGAAAATTCAAGTTTACTGTCGTCAAATTACTCAAGAATATTTTGCAGCTGTGAAAAGGTCATACCATCGGATTCTGCGTTTGCAGGGAGTTGGAGGACATTTCGAGCATATAATTTGTTTTAAACGTACCTTTAAACAACAACCAGTTACACGATAAATTTATATGCTGAAGTTTTTTCAGAAAAACTGCAGTATCTCCAGAGTAACTCGATTTCTGAGGTAAATTTGGCCATTGTATTTGAAAAAAAGGAAGACAAATTAATCCCGAGATTGGCTTAATTGGCCGATTGATTAAAATTGCTAAAGCAGATTCTATGTGAAAAATTATTTTTTTCGAACATACAGTTAGTCTCGTAGATTAGAGTTGTGATCGGAAAAACAAACAGTGCTATTGTACCAACCCCTAGCTTCGACGATAAATTTTGTCTTCTTCAGGGTCTACAGAGCAGAATCTTAATTAATTTTACATTAATATAAAATATCGCAGATTCTTGACAGCTTAGAGGTATGCAAACAAAATTTCAGTTGTCAATAATCTGTGTTATATCTACACCGACAGGCAAAAAATTCCACGCACTATAACTATAACTACAACTATATATAACTTGATTTGCATGCTTTTGCAAAATTGCATTTTTATATATTAATCAAAGATTCTCGTTTTTTAACGTTTAATAATTGAGCCTTTTTCTAAAAACGGAAATATGTAAATTTCTAAGAAAAATGAAAAATCAAAAAAGAAGAACAGATAAAATTTGTTGTAATTACATTTTTAATTAACATTTCAATATTTCGCATTTCCTCCTCTTGCCTTCATTACACATCGAAGTCGTCTCGGCATACTTTCTACCAGTCTGGAAATGTCTCTTTGCCGGAGGATAGCCCGGAGCATAGCCCCCCACAAAGAGTTCATTCAAGATCGTGGAATGTATCAGGATGTGATGGACGTGCTCTTATTTGTCTTTGAGGTCACCCCGTAAATGTTCATTGGGAGTTCAAGTCTGGAGAACAGACTGGCCAGGCTAAGACCCTGAAGTTATGCTGTTGAAGGCACGTTTGTACTATGCGAGCGATATTTGGACGGGCTTTATCGTGCATTAGAGCAGGATTATCGTTGATATCATCGAAAATAGGCAAGGCGTGATGTTCCAAAATTTCTTCCACATAGCGAGTAGCCGTCAAAGACCCTCCACGAACAACAACCAACTCTGTCCGAATCTCCACTCGCCTACAAACTCACTGAGCTACGTTGAAAATGTCGGCTCTGGGAAAAATCACAAGCTTCGTACCTTTCGTTTCGACTTCTCCACACTCTTCCACGCCTATCTGGAGTTCGTAGAGCAAATCTACACTCATCTGTAAAAAGTATAGCAGACCAATCATCCAAAGACAAAT